GAATTCTGGGAGTTGAAGTCCACTCATCTTAAAGTGGCCAAGGTTGAGAAACACTGATCTAGTAACTCACCGTTAAGCAACGCATGCTTAACAGGGTGCACATCTCGCCTTTCTCTCCCCACCCACTCAGCTCCATGCTCACTCTTCCGCTGTGCTACCAATCCGGGCGCTCTGCTTCCTGTCCATGAATGCCCCCCCTTCCAAAGACCCTCCTGACTCCGGCTGGGGGGCTCCTTTGCTTTTTTCCCCGCAGTGCCTGCAAATGGTGAGAGAAGCCTTCTCTGCCGTGGACAGCCTGGTGCGGGCCAGGCGGCTGGCCAAACTTGCTGTGGATTTCCGCTCCTGCAGGCCTTTGGAGGGGGACAGGGACTGTCAGGACCTGGTCGGCAACCTGGCCGACATCTTCATGGGAGCCGTGCAGTACAACAACGAAGGGGTCCAGTGGGCCAACGTGCACAGCCTGTGCAACATGATGACCAACAGCAGCACGGGCTCTCCGTATCAGAGGCTCGTTGCAGTCAACCTGGTAAGGCAATTGTGTTTCGGGGGGACACCACAGAGAAGGCCACTCCCCGGGGCCCGACCGGTAATCCTGGTGGAACCCGGACCGTGCCGCCTCAGCCGGATATATCGGAGGGGCAGAAGGTGCCCAATCCAGACGTTCCATGAGTAACCAGACCCCGTGCCCTATTTGGGACAGGTGTTTTTGCCCAGTTTGGGGCTGCAGTGCATAGATGCCTCTCACAAGGACGTGCTGGAGGAGCTGCGCAGCACCAGCATCGCAACGTCGGACGGCATGAGGCAGTGGTACTTCCAGACCTGCACTGAATTCGGCTACTGTAAGTGAGCGTGGAAAACATCCTGCCCTTTCCCACCCAGCCCCTTCGGCCGCCGGCCCCTCGGCTGGACCTCACCGCCCCGTTGGAGCTCACGGAAGCCCTACGTCAAAGCCCATTTCCCGTGTGCGGCGGCCGTCCCCTCTCTCAGGAAGGGTGGGAGGCTTCTGAATCGGGGGCAGAGTTTTGACGAAGGAGAAGAACGCTTGCTTTTTGGCAAGGAAGGTAGATGAGGGCTGAAGGGTTTCCTTAAATCCAGGGAACGCGTAACCTTAGCGCGTCTCGTCCGCAGAAAAGAAGTAGCTGATGTGGAGTTTGTAGTGTTGCCCTTGGGGGGCTTGATCCTCCCCACCCCCAACCCACCTGGACTGAATTGGGTGGGGGGATGAAGCCGGTGTAAAACTCCCATTGGTTCTTAGGATGGGAGCAAAGCAGATGGGTTCCAACTGGGGCCATTGGAAGCCTAGGGAAGATTTAAAATATTTTGACTAACCACCACCCCCCCAGCGCTGTCCTTATCTGGCTCAGTTCCTTCTTCACTCCTATTCCCAATCTATTTCTAAAATACCACGCACATCAAGGGGGAAAGAGGGGAGTAATATCCAGTTTGGACCCTGTTGCTCATCACAGCAAAACTTAGTTCATCGGCTTGCCAGCAACATAAAACAGAACTGAGGTTTGAGTTGTGAAGAAAAGGAAAGTTTTCCTCTTCCCTCCCCATCCTCCTTTCTTTTTATGTGGTGTCTTTTTTGGATCGCTTGTCTGAAAGCAGGAACCAATCAATTTTATTATGTATATAGCTCAAGAGCTTTCCAAACATAACCATATGCGTTAATCCGCATGGTAAATATCATTTCAAAACTGCTTTTCCTCCCATTTTAGACCCAACCTGCGAGGACCAAGCCTGCCCCTTCTCCCGCCTAATGAACTTGACCTTCCAGCTTGACATCTGCACAGAAGTCTTCAACATCTCCTCTCACAATGTGGGGGAAGCCGTGTCTTTCACCAATGACTATTATGGGGCCGACCATCCCAAAGCCAGTCAAGTCCTTTTCGTTAACGGTATGACCCTGGTCACAGCGGGTCTAGCCTGGTTTTGAAAAGCGAAGTGGAGTTGGAACTAGTTAATGTTTGGATGGGAGACCACTAGGAAAAGCCAGGGAAGCTGAAAAACCCTTCTGCCTTATTGCCAAGACATGGCAACATGTACACCGAGATGGACGTGAAGTTACTAGAAGCCAAGCTCAATCTGCTGGGGGGGAGGTGGTTATTTTGTGGAGGATAGAAAACATAGCAGTCCATCATTAAAAAGACCAGGGTAGAAGAAAACCTTGCAGATTTCTAGAAACTTTGTTTTGCAATACAGTACCAGATATTTTTATGCCTGGCTGTGTTTGCTGACTGGAGGGGGAAAGCACTCTTCACGTCCCTGGAGGGATTTTTTTCCTCTTATGCAGGCTGGGTATTCCCTTTCTCTTTTTTCCTCTGTGGAAAGTTTTATATTAATACGGGAGAAATACAAAAAACAAAGGCCCTTTAATTGCAAACTCTGTTGTCCAGGAAATCAGACCCACGTTTATCTCTTTAGGTTGGGAGATTCACATTAGCTGTTATCTGTATGTGAAAGTCTGCACGTGGACCTTAGACTTCAGCTCCAAAACATCATCTTGATTTGTTTTGTTTCCTGGTTGCATTTGAACCAGCTGCCTGAGACTTGCTGATTTCGTTCACTTTCTTTTCCAATCTGACTCCTTCCCAGGTGACATTGATCCCTGGCATGCCCTGAGCGTCCTCAAGAACGAGTCCATTTCCGAACCGGCCATTTTAATCAACGGCGCTGCCCACTGTGCCAACATGTTGCCATCCAATCCCATGGACCCCTTGCCCCTTGTCCAGGCCAGACAGGTGAGACTGGGCAAAAACAGCTAAACTGAACAGGTGGCCGGACGATGCAGTGGGTGGAATAATCAGGCTGAAATCTAGACCTCTGTGGGGTGCTGCATTTTCTCCCATCAGGGCCTCAATTTTGGGAAACATGAACGCTTTTCTAAATAAAAATAAGTAATAACAAAGTTATACAAAGTCGAAGAGCAGGTGGCAGCCGTGGCCAGGAGGGCTTTTGCACAGCTTCGGGTTGTGCACCAGTTACGCCCCTTCCTGGATCGGGATGCCCTGCGAACAGTCACTCATGCCCTTGTTGTCTGCCAGATAGACTACTGCAATGC